GGGGGGGCTACAAGAAAGACTTTTCCCAAGGGCCTGTAGTGACAGGGCAGGGGGTAACGGGTTTAAATGGACAGAGGGAGATGAAGATGGGACATCAGGAAGGAATTCTTCCCACAGAGGGTGGGAGCACTGGGACAGGTTCCCAGAGAAGCTGTGGATGCCCCATCCCTGGGAGTGTCCAAGGCCAGGCTGGATGAGGCTTGGAGCAACCTGGTCTATGGAAGGTGTCCCTGCCCGTGGCAGGGGGTGGGACTGGGTGGGCTTTAAGGTCCCTTCCCACCCAAACCGTTCTATACCGGACATAGTGTGCAAGGAGAGGGTGATCTCTCTCTCAGGAGGGCCAGAAGCTTCTCTGCCCTCAACCGCAAGTTCCCTGTCTCAGCTGTGCAGACACACAGTGCCCAAGCTCTGCCCCTCAGTGTGTCCAGCACCTCCACCCATGCCTTTAGGTTCCCAATCAGTTCCTTCTTCCTCAGGCTTCCCCTCACACAACTGAGGTTTTCACACTTCCCACTGTGCAGCCACCCCTTCAAACAGGGCGCAGGGGACCTGAACCAACGTTAGCAGAAGCCACCATCAACTGAGGTTCAGCACATCCTTGTTGGTGGAAGCTTCCCAGGGAATGGCAGCAGGAGGGCGATTGGAGTGGTAAAAATAAAAGAAAACGCATGGACTAGACTCCTGAGGGACTGAGCCAGAGAGGAGAACCCTTGAGGGAGGTGAAGAAAGAGTAGGAAACCTGACAAGCTGCTCCTTAGCCAGCAGATGATGCTCTTGGAATGCAGCCCAGGACCATGATGGGAGAGATCCCATCTGTCTGGGACCACTAGCAGGTATATATATACCATTTCTGAGCAAAGAGCAGGGTTACGCCGTATGTTCAGCAGCACAGATCAGCCTTTCTTGACTCCTTACCCATCATCATGCTGTGGCACAGTTTTAGATGAGGATTTCCCATTTGGGGCCTGTCTCTCTTCACCATTTCTGCAAGGAAAACCAGCAAGAACGATTAGGCAGGGAGCCGAGGGGACAGAGTGTGGGGCGCAGGAACCGTACGGCACGGTGCCTGGTGGAAGCACGCTACGCACAGTGCAGGGGTGGGTTAAAACGGCAGCCCGGTCCGTTTAGGAGATGGCAAGGTCCGCAGTTTCTGGGCTCGGAGTCTCATCATAATACAATTCAAGCCGTGGGAGGCCCACAGCTTCCATCTGGGTGCATTTCCTCCCAGATTGCTAATGCTTCTTTCTTAGATTCCCTGTGCTATAGTATTCACTGTTCCATGACTGCACTGTGTCCAGAATAATCGTTTGTCTGGGAAAACAGCACCAGGCAGAGCCGAACTCTGCCCCTCGCCCCGCGGAGCTCTAGGGTGATGCAGGGCCATCAGACCTACCTGATTTCAGCACAAGTGGAGACTGTCTCTGAAGCGTCACTCAGGGATGTGGTTGGTTGGCTCTTACTGCCTGTTTCAGGGCTGCAGGAGAAGGCAAAGAAAGAAAAGGTGTCATTCCCGGACAAACCAGCTTCCCGCTGCAGCTGGCCAAGGCTGTCCCGGGTTGAAGTGTTCCTCTCTGTGAATACATAAAATGGAAAAACAAGCCTCGTTGTTTTCAACACATTCCCTAACAAAGCTGTCCTATCAGAAGGAATTTGAAAATAAACCACACGGATATTGCCAGGAATATCCACCTTCTGCCACTGAGACACACGGAATACAAATAACAGGACAAGGTCAGGAGGCAAAGCGCCGTCGGCCGTGCTGTGGAAAACCATTCCCGCATTGTTTATACTACAGTCGTGAACTTGAGCCAACGAAGTTGAAAACATCTGAAAACTGTTCCCCTGCACACATCTGGTGAGAGATCAGCGCGTTTGGGTTCCTTCCTTTCAGGATTTGAGCGCTCCTATCAGGATGCTGTCAGATCCTTGCCGGACGTAGCATGGATTTTGGACATAAAGCCTGTCCTAAAACAGCTGCCTGCATCCGAGAAGCGTCTCCCACGTACGAGGCTGACAAGTTCCCTTCGGTTCAGCTCCCAGAGGGGTGCTCACCGAAGCCGCTGACGTGCAGCTACGCACAGGCTCTGACTCTTACCTGGAGGGAGACGCGGCTGCGGTCTTCGGCTCATTCCAGGAAGACCCGGTGCTGGGTTTTCTTAGCCCATTAGTGCTGACAAGAAGAGAAGTGACAAAGCGTTAAAGACAGAGGATTTTTTTAGGTGCCTTCTCCTGTGGGGGACACAGCCTGTTTTCTGGCCTACAGCTTGTGTCTGCTGCCTGGACTTCGCTGTGCAAAGGCTCCCAGACAGAGCTGTCCCTGGGCACTGCTGCACTGATGTGACTGGTGCAGAATTATCGGCCTTTCCGCTGAAATACGCCCTCTTTGGGAACTGCCTTTTCCTATTCCACACAGCTGGAGCTGTTTCTACCCCCAGTATTTGAGTCTGTACTAAAACCCAACCTCCCCAGATGTACAGATGAGAGCTGAGTGCATTCACAGAAACAGCTTTGCTGTGTGCACGTGTCATGTGTGAGGAAAGGAGGGTAACTGCTTCCCAGCCCCAGCACAAAACTGCTACCGAAATTCATGAGGCAGCTCCTTCAGCCGGAAAAGAAAGCATTTGGGGCTGAAAGGCCCCATTTACTGGGCTCCCTGCTGAGCCCACTAAGGACCAGAGTGGCAGAGAAGCTAATAATGCTGCTGCCTGGCATCAAGCCACCCCCCTCAGAGCTGGAACACGGTGCTGAATCCCAAATTAAATGAATCTGCTTGGAAACAGAGAAAGATTCTCCCTCCTAGGGCAAACGCTTCCATTTCAACCAAGGATTTCTGCATCCTGCCCCACACCGCGTGCCAGCTGACCAGTGTGGGCTAAGGGAGGGTGTCACCGCTGTCCCCTCACCCACAGGCTGTCCCCAGGTCTCACGTGCCATGGGAAGAACATTCCAGCTTGTCCGAGATGGCTCCGCACGGCTCTGCGAATTCATGGGCTTCACAGAAGCCTGGGAAAGGGGCTGGGGGGCTTGAAACGAGGGTAACATTTCCCATCACAGCAAAGATCAATTTAAAGATAATGAACCTCTCAAACCTCTCCGGTCACACCTATCTGTTGCCATCACAGTAGAATAATTAAATCTAGAGTCTAACGAAAGCAGAGAGCTGGCTCAGGGGGCTGGAAATAATGAGGTATTGAGTATTTCATGTCTAGGTGATGGGGTCAGTTCACACAGCCAGGTTTGCCAGTAAAAGAAAATCGTTACTATCTGCTGGCTGCTCCGACTCCTCCTGTCAGCTGTCTTTCCAGAAGTGCTGCCAGGCTCATTCCTGTGGCGTATGAGCACCGTATGAAGACAGGTTGTGCTGCGGAGGGGATTGGGACGGGGGCTAGTGGTGGGCTTACACCGTACAACTCACATTAGGGTCGGCCTGTAGTTAAATGCAGCTTGTCACCCCCCCAGGGCTGTCAGTTGGGTACCTCAGGACGCTCTGGCCCTGTCCCCATGCCTGCCCACTTGTGTCACCAAGCTAACAGATGTCATTTCTCGTTTGGGATCCTTCTCTTTCTGCTAAAAAAGGGGCAATCTGGATTTTCTGAGCAGTTTCTTTTGAAAAGCCTCCATCTCCAGCTGTGTTCAGAGAGGTGCTGTCTCGCAGACAACTCCGTTTATCTGCAGAGATGGCACATCGGTGTGCCTAAAATCAAAGACAGTCACCATACTACTCCAGGATGAGGTAAATACCTGTTGTCATCTGGGGTAAACCTGCATGAACCGGGCACAGTCGGACTCCTCCTCTGCTGGCCTTCCTCTTCTTCTATCTCAATTCTTTCCAAAGGCAAAAAGAGACACAAATGTCACATTGTTTTCTATCCCCCACTGTTAGCTAATCCCAGCAGCTAATTCCTGTTTTCCCTCAAGCTGTGTTTTCCTCCTGTTTCCCCCAGAGGCAGATTATTCCTGCTCCTCATGCTCCATGCACTTTGCTCCTGGTGAGCATCTCAGCCGGCTGAATGAGCCGAGATCTTCAGCCCAACTCAGGGGTGTTTTGCTGTCACAGTCGCTTTACAAACAGCATCAGCTGAACGCTTCAGTTCAGAGGGATCATTTCCCTATCCCACCAACTGCTTTCAGAGTTAAATGCCTGAAAAACATTCACCCTGACGGCTGCAGCCAGCCTTCCCTAGAAGTCAGGCAGCAAACCGGTCTCTCTGTGTTTCAGGCTGCCCATAACCCAAAGCACCATCAGTACTGTATTCTAGGTGCTTCTAGAGCATCCTTCCTAAGGGAAGAGCCCCTCCTCTTTTTTGAAACAGCTGGGGGTCTCCTATCCCCGCATTTAACAGCGGCCCTGGTACAGGACAGATGTACAACCCCAGCAGCACTTCCAGAGGGTCAGTCACCTACCTCTTGGCAAACAAAGGTGGAAATTCTTGTGTTGGGCTGCTGTAAAGGAAGCATAAAGGCAACATTTAGAATTTTGGAGGTGAAGACACACCTTGGGCAGCTCCCACCGAGTCTCTGACCCACAGCTGACCCCTTAAGGGGCCATGTAACACCATTTGGGCAGAGCCGACAGGGACTGGGTGTGTAAAACCTGTGCCAATTACAGAGCAGAGGAAACAAATAGGAGCAGCCAGTTACAACACATGAAGGAAACAAGCTTCCCCAAAGGGCTTTTTTTAATTTTGTACCTCCTGATGGCTGTTTTTCTCCCTGCATACAAACCTCCCTCCGTTCCTCACGATGCTCAGTGCACCAGCAGATCTACCAGCCAGTGCAAACACCCTTCACCTCCTCACGAATCCTATCTGAGCGATTCCCTCATCCTGGGCACAATGCAGTGCTGCTGGCACATCCCCTCCCTGCTTCCTCTCGCCCTAGCAACTCCTGGTGCCTCACTGTATCCCCCTGAGTTATGTCAGGAGGAGAAGGATTTAGAGTGAAAGTCAGCTGCAAAAAATTCACTCTCATGGTTCCTTGAAGATCAGGGACCTTGAAAACCTGCTTTGTTTTTCCCTCTCAGGAAAGAGATGGGCAACAGAGCCTTGAACACCAGTAGCTCCCACACATCCTTGACATTCCTGTTACACATCCACACGGGACCGTTAGGTTCTTTTTCCCCACAGAACTATTTTGAAGGTGCAGCTGGGATCAGGATCTTGTAAACCTGGCTGTTGTTCAGACACAATGGAGCGGCAAACTGGCACAAAGAGCTGATCCCAACTGGATGTAGTTTATATTTGTCCTGATTTTTGCCTTGCATGGAACAAGGCTGGGGAGAGCAGTATTCAGAACTGGGTCTGAATGCAGGCCCCAGGGAATTAGGGACTATCATGGTTTTTCTCTTCCCAAAATTTCATCCCTCTCTGTAAGGAAGACTTCCCAAATCTCTTGGAGGATTTCCCCAATTCTGCACAGACCTGCACGTACCCTTGGCACTTCAAATCCCAGCACGGTTTGGGTGGGAAGGGACCTCAAAGCCCCCTCAGTCCCACCCCCTGCCATGGGCAGGGACACCTTCCATAGCCCAGGGTGCTCCAAGCCTCATCCAGCCTGGCCTTGGACACTCCCAGGGATGGGCCATCCACAGCTTCTCTGGGCAACCTGTCCCAGCCCCTCCCCACCCTCTCCAGGAAGAATTCCTTCCTGATGTCCCATCTCCATCTCCCTCTTTTCATTTAAACCCGTTACCCCTTGTCCTGTCACTCCCTGCCCTTGGAAAAAGTGCCCCCCCCAGCTTTCTTGCAGCCCCCCCAGGCACTGGAAGGGGCTGTAAGGTCTCCCAGACGGCCCCTGTGTCTTCCCCACTCATTGGAAAGGTACCCATTGATCTCAGAGAGCCTTGGGCCAGGCCACCACCCCTGCGAGACCCCTCTGAACATCCTCTTCCCCATCTCCTGCCCCACACTTGCTGACTGAAGACTCACCCGTTGCTTTTCTTGGCGGCCGAGAGGACGTAAGCCCGTTCCCTGCTGGCCGTGCGTCTCAGGACGCTGTTGGCCGCCTCTGTCCTGGAAGGGAGGAAAGGGGTCACATTCTGCTCATGAACTACCCAGTGGAGACTTGTGCTAACCCTGACACAGCTCCTGTGCTCTCGGGGGCAGAAATCCAGCCAGAGCTAAGAGGAGTAGCCATGTGTGACGGGTTTTTTTAGTATCATTCATATGAGCCACCACACTTTCACATGGATGTAAAGCATTAGGGGAAAAAAAAAAAAAACCCTCCTCTTCCAGGAGGGCAGAGGGAGTTCCCTTTTCAAGCCTTGGACTGTTGCACTGCTGCCTATCACTGGAGAAATAAACGGGACGCGGGTTTTGTGGCTGACGCGGCACAGGGACTGCACGTGTCTGCAAGGACATCGGTACCACCAGACGTACCAAGGGAGCAGCACAGGCCTCCGGAAGGATGCTCATCGCTTCGTCCCCAGTGGGTAAACCACCAAATTCTCATTCGTAAAAAGCTTGTATCTGAGGAAAAATATCTTCAGAAACTCAACTGAAATCACCAGGATGCTGGCTGCACCAGAGGGATCCACCCCACAGAAAAAACACATCCTACTGACAGGAGAGCGGGAGACCCATCTGGATCTGGACCCAGATCCAAGTCTCCGCGTGGCCCAGACCAAAAGGCGCGTGTTAGGCTGCGGGAGGTGCCTCCTCCCCTCGCTGCCAGGCTCTCCCTACGTCTCCATCTTTTCACATGGACAGTACGCCGCTGATGGATTCCACAACCCATTTCCAGCTGCCAAATTAATTGGGGGACGCTGTCAGGTTGAATCTCGTCAGGCTTTTCATTACATTTTGCTGGGGATGCAGTCGCCTGTGGGCATGGATGCACACCGCGTAGAAATATCTGCTTATTATTATTTTCTTGCAATCAGCCCTAATGGCTCATCAGTGAGCCCCTCCCTGTAACGAACTGTTGAGTCCGCTTGTCGCCGCCGCAAGAGACGGGCGGTTACCCGGGGGACAAACCTCTTCTTGTGTTCATCTGGAGTAAAAGGCACATCCTCCTCGTCCAAGTCCACTGATTTTTGCCTGACGTTGTACGGAGCTCTGAAACAGAAGGGGAGAGCCCAGGTAAGGGAACTGCCTCTGGACTGTTGCAGAGGCAGCAACAAGCAAAACCCAAGGTAAATCCAAGGGCAGGGAACGTGGAAATTCAAATTGGTTCAGCCCCCAGAAGTGTTGCACGCGAGTGTGGAAGACACTTGTAATTTTCACGCACGTTGGGGTCTGCAGGTCCCCGTAAGATTTGGTTTTCTTAGTCTAGGGGTTAAGTCTAGAGGCTGGTTTATAATAAATGTTCAGCTGCATTTCAGGTTAGTGCCAGAGTCTGACACAAAAAGCTGCGCAGGAAATGCCTGCACAGGGGCATCCACGTGTACAGCTTCATCCCTGCGGCTCGGGTGCTGCCGAGCCC